TTTATTAATAATATTTTAATAAACTCATAAATCAATTGCATTTTTAATGTGTAATTTGATTTGTAAAATATTTCTTCGAATGTGATAATAGTTATATTTTTTTATTTTTTCTCTATTGATGACCGATTGGTTGACTTCCACTTCTAAAATTAGGAATGTGATACATTTCTCCTTTATAAGGTGCCAAATATCCATTTATATTAGGATAACCAGCATCAACAAGATAATATTTACCTAAAATATAAGAGAGAAGTTATTGATAATAAATACGAAAAATTTTCTTAAAAGTTCATTAAGAATTGTGCTTAAAAACTATAACACAAAATAAATAGATTATTATTACTATTAGGAGGATGAGGAAATACATCCTTATGATTTTTTAATGTATGGGTTAAAACACGTGCATTATGAGTAGATCTAAGCCACCCTGTAACTACAAATGTAAATATCATGTCGAAATTACAAACTACCATCACATTTTGAGTGGGGATGCCTTTGCGACCTATAAATGGTATTAGGTCTTCTTCAGGGATTGTGGCTTTAACATGCGTACCATCAATTGCACCAATACATCCTTTAAAATGAGGCTAAAACCTACTATCTTGTCGAATATTATTGGGAGTTTCGATAAAATTATAATAAGGTGGTTGCACAATGTCACTTGAAAACCTCACCATTGCATCAAGAACCTTTTGAAATTTTCTACAGCTTGTTCCTCCATCTCATCCTCATCACTATTTTCTTCCTCCACCTCACACTCATCACTATTTTCATAATTCTACCTTGGATCTAAATCCATTTACCAAGAAAAAGAAAAACATTAGGATCCACATATGAACACAAAAAACCAATCTAATTATTTTTACAACTAAATTAAAAATGTAAAAAAAATAAGATAACATACCTTTTTATCTTTCTCTTAAGTTGAACAATAAATGAACTCTTGAACTCTTGTACGCTTTGACGTAAATTGAATTTGGGAGAAGTGCATGAGGGTGTTGTAATTTAAATAGGGGGTTGTGTTTTTATGTATGTTTAGATTTTTTTTCATGTGATTGAAAAATCTTTTCTTAAGACAGGCTTTTTTCCATGTGATTGAGATATCTTTTCTTAAGGCAGGCTTTCTTCCATGTGATTGAGAAATCTTTTCTTAAGATAGACTTTATTTTTTGGTGTGATTGAAATACAACACTTGCGCAGTACATGCCTACAGTCCCAACGCATGCACTGAAATCAGCTCTTGGGTAGTGCATTGCGTACTGTCCTCAGCTGTTGTCTTTAGCTATTGAGATTCTGCACATTGCTACTTTTGATATAAAAGGTAAAAAGGTTTACTAGCACCTAAAATTCTTTGATTGTAATGATTCCAAAACTTATTTTTATTTATAATCTACACTTTTAATTTCAAAACTTATGCAAATTGCCCCTTCCCTTTTAGATAATGTGGACACCATTAATTTTTAAATTGTATGAATCATATTATTTTAACTTTTGATTAACTTTTACAAATTAACAAAAAAAAAAAACTTAATATTTCAAGATAAGTGATAATCTAAACAAGGGTTAATATGGAATCCTTATTTGAACTATAAATCACTAGTCCAATTTCTAAACAACAACATTATGAAAAAGACATAAATTCATAACATTAGTCCACATACAACGAAAATACAAATAAAAAAGAAAATAGTTTTGTATCTCAAATACAAGCATTATGATTGTCTTAATACTAAAAACTCAAATACAAACATGCTAGTAATACCTTCTACCACCGAATCTCTTCCTCTCCATCTCAAACCTTATCTTGTCCCTTTCCAACTCTTGCTGTAGCCAAGCAAGTTTTGAGTTAACTGATTTTATACTCCTAAACATATTTCTATATTCTCGTTTCGCAAACAAACGAGTACCTAACATAAAAAGCTCATTACCATCTTCAACTCCAGGTAAAGTTAACAACATCTCCATACATTCTTCAGTGGTATCAAGATATGTTTCATAATTTTTCTTTGATGAATCACTCAAAGTAGTTGTGGTATAACTTTCAACTGCATCACAAAGACGATTCAATTGTTTCTGCATGTATGCTGCACCTCCTACTTTCACTTTCTTCCCTTTGCCGGTAAGTGAAGGACCAATTGTGTTTTTCTTCCTTTTTTCACTGCTTCCACCAGTTTGTGTTGGGATGACATTCACCTCATCAGAATCACCACTTCCTTCTTCCAAATCAACAGCATCTTCAAACCCCACATTCTGTTGTACTGGAGGAATAGGCCCAACAGCTGGAGTCCATTAAGTTTCACCGGTGACTACTATTTTGTCAAACATTTGCTGCAACTCCATTGTGTTTTCTAATCCATGATGCTCAAATTTACCATATTCTTTGTTCTCCTATAATAAATATATAACATATTAGAAGTTTAAAGTTAAAATTAATAAAGTCACATGCAAAAAACTAAAAATCATTAACAATAAAAGACTACAACTAACCGCTTTCAATTCAGCCAATCGTTGAGGAGTAGCATCAATTGTGCCTTTTTCATGATTCCACCCGAGTCTTGTTTCTTGC